CTATTTGGAATACTGATCTTGCCAAACAAAAAGTTTCCTCTCCGTCACACACTGGAATAAAGCAAGAGAAGCGTCAATTTTCAAAACTGGGTGTGTTCGTGGTGGGAAGGGGCCATTGCAGCTACACCAACAGCATCTTCTCCTTTGCAGACAGCCCATCGCCTGCACAATGCTGCGAAACCAAAAGTAGCAGTGTGAAAGGAAATCACCTGTACTGTATTTACATGAGCTCCTTCTATAACGAGGAAGTCGTCTGTCCTGTCACAAGAAGATTTACATGTACATAGCCGTTTCCTTAAACAAATCCCTTGATACTCTATTCTGAACGTGTTAATTTTGATAAAAATAAAAAGTTAAAAGGGGATTAGTGGTGCTTCAAGCTCTGAAAGGCAATTTAAAGACTTCCTCATAACATATGTATGTTCTGGATTCCCTTACCGAGACACTAGTTATAAAATTACCCAGTAGTATGATACAAATGTAACTGGCATTTCTCATTAAACTCAGGAAAAGGGAAGGGCTTATTTCTGCTCTTGTGCAGTCAATCACACAGATGGAGCCAAGTAACACAGCTGCTTATTTGTTTTGTTTGCTATGGTAATAATTACATTATTTTTCATTACTGGGTTAATTGAGTATGAGTAATTACAGTTTTCTCTGTTCCCTGTTCCTGGCAGTATGTTCCTTTGCTAATAGACTCTTCAGAACACTGAAAACTAAATCAAATTTGGCCTGGTCTCAGAGTGCTGTCAAATGTGACACTGTGAGAAACACAAAGGCTAACTGCCTCACTGCAGCTGAAGGTGCGCCCGTTGCAAATCAAGTGGGAACAGCTTAAGACTTTAGTCCTTTGGAGCAAGTGGTAAACAGAAGCTAGCCTAAACTGTAAGCGGTCAGTGCTGTGGCATGGAAAGCCAAACACGGAGCTTCTCTGTGGTCCCAAACCCACCCACCACTCCACCTGTGTACACAAAACCAGATTTTATTTCATTTTAAATCAAACCACCAGTCTTAGCTCAGGGGGGGCTGTTCATGCCGGGTGATCCTTTTTACAAACTGACTGATTCCACCAAAAACACAATGCGGGTGCAATTGTCTAAACAACATTTGGGGAAGTCAGGTAGAACATGTGTCCACATACATGTATGTGGTTAAATGCATCATTTACTGCACTGGACGACCATATCAATCTTAGTAGAATATACATTTTCTTTTGGTGCCAGTGTAGTGCGTGAATTTGTGAAGGTACCAACAAGAAACCACTATGCTTGGCAACAACGAGAACAATATGGATCTCTAAACATGCATGGAGTATAACAAGACCATATATTTTTACTGGGCTCTTGAGTCAGAGAGCCAAAACCAGATGAACTGCTTTGTCTTTGAGGACCGGCCTCGCTCATAAGAACTGGTGATGTATGCCGTTATTTGCATCATGAGCAGGGGAAAAAATATCTTGATCACAATGTTCTATAGTCATACGCACTGAAACCAACTTAGCTGAATGTTACACACAACCCAGGTTAATATGAATAGAGGGAATTGGACCTGGAAGGAATCTGAGTGTGTTCAGAGGATGTTGTTGTGCGTCCCCCCACCCAGAACAACCGGAAATCAGTCTTGGGTAAGTTGTCTCATGACACTGGTTATCAACGTTTTTTGTTAACCCTGTCTTTTCACAAACACAGTTATACATGTTTCTACCATTCTATAAAAACATGTGCCTGCTAACAGCCCATTTCTGATGCGTTCCTTCAGGTTTCATCTCCTTATGCTTCCAGCGGTTGACCGCACTCACCCAGGATATTATACTTTTTCTTCAGCATGACTTTTGGACATATATACAACATATCATATAGTTATATGAAATGCAACACTGTGCTGAAGTATTGTTTGATTCTGTGCCCATCCCAATGCTCAGGCCCTCTTATCATATGTAGACAGGCTGAAGACAATGCCTTGCCCACTCCTGAATATAAAATCAGTTAGGTC